TGGGCTCACATGCAATTATCTGTAACAATGTATGTCATAGGTCAGTCATGGTGTCATTTCAGTTTGTGGAATGTCATGTTTCCATTAACTTTCCTTATCAGCCAAACAAATTCAAGAATTAAAAATATCTCCATTGTTCTTCACACCTTATTACATGAAAAGTTGTGGGATAGCCCCAGAATATTGACATTTTTGTATAGTCCAATTCATTTTTTCAGTTATTAGAAGTTGCTTTTGTACATTAGAGATTTCCTTGTCCTAACTTTTCCGCTTTTTCAGGATGATGGAGAATATGAGAGAGACACACTCAGTGACTGAGAATTCATTTCATTTCTTTTATAATGTGCTTTGATAGTATATCTTAAATTTAGACTGAATCTGATATGTGCTGATGTTTGCATGACAGATTAAGTGACAGATGTCACAAGACAAACTTGTAGTTTAACTCTTATCTAAAACCATGATAGCAAAGCAGAAACAAACGAAAACAGCCTTCTTTGAACAATATGCATTAACTTTCAGCTACCTTGTATCACATTCAAATATTGATGTGCAAAGAAAAAAAAAAAAAGACTTGGAAAAACTTAAGAATTCCTCGAGGGCTGGATGTTTGTAAAAGGCGAGATGCCTGTGCATTTGGGTGAGTACAGAAGGATCGCTGATGAGATGTTGCCTTGTGACATCCCCATCTGCCATGCCCAGCTGCATTGCTTAGGGATACAATTGGTATCCATAGAAAACCAAGGAGTGGGAGTTGCTGTTTTGTGGCAGCTAATTTAGGTGTGAGTCCGCATGGGGAGCATCTCAGATCCAGGCTTACGTACCTCAGGTTATCTTGCACAGCGGCAGCCGTCAGGCACATAACTCAGCAGCACGGTCACTGAAGACTTCTATAGTCAATGGCAATTCTGTCCACTGTGAACCTTTCTCTGCAGGGGCCTTTTGGTCTCCCTGTGGCCCAAAACTAAGTCTGAAGTTAATTGGGCCCAGGTATCTCTCCAGGCCTTTCTGAGGGCACTGAATTCACAGCTAACTTGCTTGAAATTGGTTCGTCTTCCCTTCTAGTTTGTGAAGATCAGTAATGGTCTTGTTGCTAAGACCAACATGTGAAGGCTGAAGCATGTGAACGTGCTTAATTTATGTCAGTCTTTTGACTGTGGAACACATATTCGTCAGAGGAGCTGTGTGGCTACAGTGATGGCAGCTGATATTTAAAACCCAGTACTAGTAAATCACAGCCGATAAAACAAATCTGATGTATTACTGCAGCTCAGGAGTGACATTTGACCGTTGTACTATTGTTCTGACACTGAAGTTAGTAATGCAGTTTTGGGCCTTAAAGCAGTCCTGTTCTCCTCAGCAGATCGTAACAATTAATTCCTATTTGGCAAAGAATCAATAAAAACAAGATAACTTTTAGAAAATTATTTGATGCTATAAATCTGTACAACCAAAGTGTGAGTGCTGACACAGGTGTGGTCAGCAAATCCAGCTTTTAGCAATGTTATATGAGGTCAATGGAGGAGCTAGCTGACCTCTTACGTTCAGAGTCTCACAGCTGTTCACACGCAATAAAACGTGACTGTGCCTGATGTAGACTGGCATAATCTGCATCGTTTGTGATAGCTTTTAAAAAATCCAAGAGCCAGACCTAGGAATGGACACCGTGACCTTCTTGTTAGGTATCAGAGAAGCTCCTTTGAGTGCCTGACCTTAAGAATAGACTTTCAAGATCTGCATTCAGACCTGTCTGGAGGATCTCCAAGAGGTGGGGTGAGAAAAGCCTCTCCTGTTGCTGAGGCTGCTGGTCGTGCAGCCAGATCCCTATGTCAGCAGCACAGCCTGAGGGCATGGCAGCCTGCAGCTCTGGTAACAAAGCCAGTACTGAGTCTCAGCCCTTTCTCCCTTTCCCTGTTGTATTCTATATTACATTAGCATTGATAAGTTGCCAGACTAAACAGAGAGGTGCCCAGCGAGTATAAGTATCTGCATTGTTAATGGCCTCTGAAGAGGTGGGTTTTTAAATTGCGGTTTGGAATTTGAGGTACCTGAACTCTGCCCAGCCCCAGGATCCAAACAAATGTCTTTCATGATATTCCACAGCCTGGAACTAGAGTCTCAAAATGCCACACAGAGGAAATACCTCAGATAGACACCCTCCAACCATGCTGCAAGGTCATCCACCAGACCATGCATTTGAAGTCAAAGTGACGGTTTGAACTGTGAGATGCCACAGGTATCTATCATGTCACTCCATAACACCAGATGCATTCTGTGCCTTACACCTCTGCAATATGCCTGTCACAAAGCACTTCAAACACCTGCTGGGGATTTTGCATATAATTTGTGCTTCATTCTTTTATGTGTGCATACATTTTTTGAAGAAAACAAATACTTAGTACTTGATCTTTCACACAGAAATGACTGGCATTGTAAGCATGTAATATTTTTGTATTCATATTGGTTGCTGTTTCTCATTTACCAAGTTTTCACAGTATGGACTGAAGGGAAACTTCTCCTTTAAATAGCTTTAAATGAGAGGAATCAAGGTCATATGTGTCATGGGCCTAAATACATTTTGACTAATTGAATCAGACTATTTTAGGTATAGTTCAAAGTTCACTGTATACTTCCAGAGTTAAGAAAGCTTGATCAGCATCTTTGAGCAAAGAATGTTTTATCTGGCACACTGAAACTTTATTCTAGCTGTGGAGTAAGAATACTGGTAGGAGGTGTTAAGAGAAGGCCATGAAATGGTGTAAGTTTTAATAGCTACAGTGAAACCAGGACTTGCTCAATTTAAAACACATACAACATTATAACTGTGAAACCAATTTTGCCTTGCTGAATCTTTGCCTCAGTGAGACATTCCTCAACTGTATTCTGTTTAGCACATCAGCTCAGAGTTTTGACAGCAGTTCACATTTGGTACTTAGAACACCATCAACTGAAAGAATTTCCCAGGGAGCATGCTGACTCCCCTCTCCCCTCTCCAGAAGTATTGCTTCTAACACTGATGCTTGACTGACTTCCAGTAAAAGCATATGAGCAGCTGTGAAGACTCCCTTTTTCTGAAAGGTGAGATGGGAAAACCCCAATCACCCCCACCACACACTGATTTCCCCCAACACGGGAAGCACTGATGAATACCCCTACACATGTACCTTCATGTGATCATTTCACGGTAATTTGGAAATACCTGCATGCCTTTCACTGCAGGCAGATACTAGTAAGTGCCATTTCAGAAGAATCTGGGCCACCAACACTTGCTGGTCCTTCAGGCAGGAGTTAGTGAAACAGGGCAGGACTATGACTTCAATAGGACAATTAGAGAGTAAACTCATCCCCATGTGTTCACAATCTGTCCATCCATCCCTAAAGGTCTTAGGCAGAATATGAGTTGGTTTTGGGATTTCAATTGCAGGATAGGGATAAACTTTTCATGTTACTGAACAGCATATAACACATGGCATACTGAATGTGTACAAGTGCCTTCTGAGGGTAGGTACCTAGGCAGCTTGCACTAATGATGGTTTGCAACCACAGGAAGAGATCACTTCTTAATTTTTCTGCCATTTCTTTTTTCTTTAAAACAAACATAGGAAATCACATGCAACAAATGACATATAGTGCAAGACTAGGACTGCACAGCTGACCACTTAGAAGGCAAGACATACACAAGGTGGGATACAAAACTTGCCTGATCATGCATAAAGTTTATGATACAGGCTTCATCACTGCAATCTCAAGTTTTGTAGCTGCAAATGTATCTAAACTTCACCTCCCAGATAATACAACATAACAAGGGGAATACTTGTTTACCTTTACCAAAAGGTAAAATGTTAAGTAACAATTGTATGGCTTTTTGAAAGATGTACAATAGAGTTCAAAAAGCTTTGGAGCTCAAGCAAGAATAATTAGAAACATTCATAGCATGCATGATGAGGAAAGCCAGACTAGATTAACATAATCATCTCTTTTGACTATAAAATATATTAATCTGCCAGATATTAATTAGTCCCTATAAAACTATAAGGTTCTCCAAATGGTTTGCCTGTAACATAAAATACCTTTAGTCTTTCTTCTCAACAAATGCATTCATAAATGTATGACAAAGAAAAACCAGTTCTGCTCCCGTGTTGAGCTAGAAAGCCTTGCAAATAAACAACAAACGATACTTAAATTCAGAGAGTGATTTCCTTAAAGTGGATGAAACATGCAAATCATTTTAAGTAAAGTGGTTTTAATAATATTATTTCAGGCTACTTGTATTACACAGAGTACTGTCCTGTCTTTGATACAGACATATGCTAATGTGTCCTTACTGGCACCAGTTTAAATAGGAATAAGTCAGGAATAAGGCCACTACGGTACGCCATCTCCTTAAGTACTTCTCTGAGATGGCTGTAGTGGCAGCTTTTCCAATTATAGTTCTGTTGCTTAGTGCATTTGGGCTACAATTCTGCATATTACCATTACAGTTTTGAAATACAGAAGAGATTACAAGAGATTGCACTAACAGTCTGACAAAAGCCACTGAAATTCAGAGTAAAGAATGCTGGAAGGTTCATCTACAAGAGAAAGGGCAGGAGTTAGTGAATTGCATTTCCCAGTATGCATTCAAATCAAAGTGATTTAAACACGGAATATTTTACAGGCTTGGTTGTCTTTTACTATTGCATACTTTACTAGGGTTATCAGCTGACCTGTGACCATTCTATTTAAAACTAACTAAATACTGATACAGGTGGGACAGATGGAGGAAACGTAGTAAAAATGCTTAACTTTGTCTAATATAAACCTATTGTGTCATTTAATGAATTTCAAAAAGAACCCAAAGCAACTTATTATTTTGAGGAAAACAGGGTTATTCCTATCTCGTGCACAAAAGAAATTAATTGGTCTGACTGCAATGAGAGATAAAAGTGATTATCAGTGTGTTTTTAATGAATAATGTGTACAGCAGAGATGTATAAATCAGAGCACAACTTCAGCTTCATGCTCTTCACTTCATTTTACTTACCATCAGTTCCTATTTCACTTTTAAGGTCAGTACAAGACTGGAAAAGACACAAGAAAAGACTGAGTATTGAAGAATACTTCTTAAATCATTAGTTGTTTGTCATTTTAATGGTGTTAGACTTTAGCAAATTTCTGAGGCATAAACTAGTTAGCTTTACAATGTCCAAATATTGTTAGTCTTAGAAGACTGCTTACTTGAAGCCTGTGCTCTCCACTCAATTTACAAACTGCCCCTATTTCCTTAGGCTGATGATGTAACTGCCTTATTTGCAGTGTCTTGGTCAGGATACAAATACAACGGGCTCTGTGATGAATTTGCTCTTGGAGGTGGTTGTGTACTACTCAGTCTTTCAGAATTTCCTGGAGAATTCTCCCTCCACCTTGGACTTGCCTGCTCCTGAGACACTTCCCACACAGATGCACACGGCGAGGTAAAATTCATGGTGGATCGTGAGAGGTAGTTCTCCTGAAGACCTTCTTCTTGGAGGCACCTGTTTGAAAGCACTTCTTTTTCTTTGGAGTTTCGCCATTTCATCCTTCGATTCTGAAACCAAATTTTCACCTGTTTGCAAGTTAATGAGAGTTTATTATCATCCTTTTTTTTTTAAACAACTTTGCCCTAACAAGGGTTTTTTTCTTTCCATCCCCTTAGTTTCAAATTCCTTCCTTATTCATTGTTATAGTAGATCCGGTGAAGCTGACTGACATTATCTGAGGATTTTCCCATCGCTATTTACCTCAGTTGGGCTAAACGCTCTCCTTCACTTTCGCCACCTCAAACAGGTGAGTATTTGGCTTAGACTGGAAAAAGGACAGCCCAGTGGCTAGGGATAGAGAAACTTCCTGTATCAACAACTTTCTACACAGAAAAGGATTCTCAGTAAATCAGCATCATCATTAACAAAGCTAAATGATACTACTGGTGATGTGAAGCCTTATATTTAAAAGAGGCTCTAAGAACTATGACTGTCCCATTCACAAGCATAGCTAAAACCAGCTTGGCCATATAGCTTCAAAATGCGTGTTATGACATATAAGAGGGTAGTGAGGATTTAAAGACATTTTGTCTGCCTGACTATAGTTTTCCAGGAGTTGCCTAGAATCCATGTGCTTTAGAGATAAATTAATTTGTCAAAAACTTCTGAAGCTTGATCACAAGCATTCAAAGACATTTATGAAATGTTGGGAAAATCTTGGGGAAATATAGATCTGGGAACTGGTTTTACATAAAGAGAAGAAATAGGGAGGAGAAGGATCAATCAAAATATTCAGACTGTGTTCTATTCTCCCTTTAATATTTGCATTTAGTTGTAGTATTTAGATGCTTGATATGAACACAAAGTGGCCAAGCTTTCAAAGGTTTGAGAATCATTGCCTCAGATGGCAGGTACTGTTCCTCCAGCACAACTGGTCAGAAAATTGAAGAAGTAACC